AAGCCGTTTCCAGCCATTATTGGTTTGTTGTTGTTGTTGATATTTATAATTTATGGTCAATCTGCTTGTCTTTGCCTTTTTTGTATAACCTAGTTGGATATTTTTCTAATTCGTCGATGGTAACTGCTTATCTGTTAATTAATTAAAAAAATATTTATAACTGTTGTTTTAGAACGTGAATACTGGTACTTTTTGTTGTTGTTTTAACGTTCTGCCGTGCTCCCCTGGCATTCCCGTTTTCCTGCACCATTATGCTGCACCACACGATAAACTATTTGACAGGGAAACGCGCTTCAACTTTAGTTCGATAAACCACGCGACTTAAATAACCTCGTTCTCAGACGTGTGGTTAAGGCGCACTATGTTCAGACGAATGTGAGTTGTAACACCAACTTCTCAAGAATGAATTGGTTTGACATCTTACTTAGTTATTTCAATCTACCAAGTTTGTTTTCGTGATAAATACTCTACACAAAGCTAAAAAATTGTAAATCGTTAATCAATCAGATATGCAGATAGAAGAGGAACTTAATCATGTTAAAAAGGAATTTAACCAAAATAAAAAGTGTAAACGATGGTTCACCTTAAACTTACTCTGTATTATGCACGGTTAAGCCTTGAAGTATGTTATTTGATTCCTAATATGTGGCAAAAGGTATCGGATTGGAATGTAGGATAGCTGGTAAGGAATTTATAGTCTCCTAAGCAGTAGGTTTGAGAAAAAGAAAGTGCTTATTTTGACCGATAGGATGTTGTTGATAATTGTATAACAATTTTAGAATTAATAAAAACATGGATAAATAATAGAGCAATAAATAAATAAAACGAGTAATTTTGAATCTTTCATACTTCTTTATGTTGCCGTTGAAGTGCACAAATAACTACATTGAAGTGCACAAATAACTACATTGAAGTATACAAAGAATTACATTGAAGTGCACAAAGAACTACATTGAAGTGCGCAAAGAACGACATTGAAGTGCACAAATAACTACATTGAAGTGCACAAATAACTACATTGAAGTATACAAAGAATTACATTGAAGTGCACAAAGAACTACATTGAAGTATATTGAAGTGCATAAAGAACTACATTGAAGTGCACAAAAAACTACATTGAAGTATATTGAAGTGCATAAAGAACTACATTGAGGTGCACAAAAACTACATTGAAGTATATTGAAGTGCATAAAGAACTACATTGAAGTGCACAAAAAACTACATTGAAGTATATTGAAGTGCATAAAGAACTACATTGAGGGGCACAAAATACTACATTAAAGTGCACAAAGAACTACATTGAAGTATACAAAGAACGACATTGAAGTATACAAATAACTACATTGAGTGCACAAAGAACTACATCGAAGCGCACAAAGAACGACATTGAAGTATACAAAGAACGGCATTGAAGTGCACAAAGAACTACATTGAAGTGCGCAAAGAACGACATTGAAGTATACAAATAACTACATTGAGTGCACAAAGAACTACATCGAAGCGCACAAAGAACGGCATTGAAGTATACAAAGAACGACATTGAGTGCACAAAGAACTACATTGAAGTGCGCAAAGAACGACATTATGGTGTACAAAGAACGACATTGAAGTATATAAATAACTACATTGAGTGTACAAAGAACTACATCGAAGCGCACAAAGAACGGCATTGAAGTATACAAATAATTACATCGAAGCGCACAAAGAACGACATTATGGTGTACAAAGAACGACATTGAAGTATACAAATAACTACATTGATGTATACAAAGAACGACATTGAAGTATACAAATAACTACATTGATGTATACAAAGAACTACATTGAAGTATACAAAGAACTACATTGAAGTGTACAAGGAACTACATTGAAGTATACAAAGAACTACATTGAAGTATACAAAGAACTACATTGAAGTATACCAAGAACGACATTGAAGTATACAAAGAACTACAATGAAATGTGGAAACTAATAACTCTTTACTAATTTCTTTAGTGTCCTGAATAACAATTATGTTGATGAGGGCTTACTTGTTTCTTTATATAAGAAATAAACCAATTTGCTTTAGATCATTACGTAAGTAAGAACTGACAAATGACACAAAGACGTATATGATTTATGATATCGTGTGTGAAAGTCTTACTCTCAATAAAAGGCAGTTCGCTCTTAACTCAAAGTACTTTCAGGTAGTGGTATATATACCCAATAGGATAGATAAATATAGGTATAAGCACAACTGACGTGTGTTATATTTCTGTAGCTATTAGTGATACTTATCCTATATCACTATGCGTTATAAAGTTTGACAATCACATAGATTATCTAATACAACCTTATAGCCGAGCTTAGCCCGATAAAATTTTTTACAGTGTTACCATCAATGTGATTTCAATCAATCTTGATACAGAATGATAAAAACCCTATAACCTGAGCGATTTGGAAAGGGGAACCTTTCTTCTTCAGGGGCAAACTGGGAATCGATGGTGTAATCGATTGAGTGATATATAAAGAGGGGTTGAGTGACGTCATAAAGGTCATCTGGTCTTCCAGGAAATGGTTTAGTTTATTTTTCCATGTACTGTTGTAAGTGTGTTCCTTTTCCGGTACAATGTAGCCGGCGACGAGAGAGTTATGTAAAAAGGTGTTAGGGATACTTTGCTTTAGAAATGTTTAAACAATAAATAAATAAAAGTATACTTAAGTGTTTAAGTAAAATAAAGGTGACACCTGGAGACTTATTAAAAAAGAGGTGTTAAGCTAATTGATTTCTACAAACAGGTATGGGAAATTATCTTAAAGAGATAGTAAGTTTTAGAAAAATTAGGGTTCACGCTACATGAAAGAAATAAGCAAAGAATAAAAGTTGTTTTTCTGACAGAAATGAAACCCAATGATCGGAGATCACTGATTCCAGGTTCTAGATTGATTCCACAAGGTTTCAATGAAAATATGAGTGAAGGGACAGATTGTGGTGTCATCATCTTTGATACAGCTATAGTGATTAAAATGATCCTTAACTATTTGAATTTTTTTTTGGATAACTTCTCCTATGGTTGACATAGCTGAGCCGATGAGGGCTGATATTCAGGGGAAATCAGTCCTAATTAGTGGTGTTATTATTTGTACTTCTTGAAATGTGAGTTTACATTACAATAAATAGGCCCTGCAATCAATGCGAGGGACAGAAAGTTGATTTATAGATAAGGTAGTTTATATGCTTTACATTACAATAAATAGGCCCTGCAATTAATGCGAGGGACAGAAAGTTGATTTATAGATAAGGTTGTACAGCATCAAACGTTTTTTTTTCTCTGTAAAAATATAAAGTTGGACGAACATACTAGCTTCATCACACACCAGATGACTGTAAACACTACATCATTATTGGTATACAGTGACGTCACGTTTCTAGGCCTTAAAGACATTCGAAAGCGTTTTTTTTTCTTCATTCACTGAAGTAGCATATAAATTACATGTTCAATAAATGGGACCATTTCCCTCTCAAACGTCAAGGATAGTTTTCAAAGTAAAAAAAAAAAACGTGTGATAAATGTAATGAATATATTAGTCATCTTTCAACAAAGAGTCAAATACTGTATTCCGTAAGTTTTCCATGCATTTTTCAAACTTATATTTCTATAACATTTTTATTTCGTCCACGAGAGCATCTTTACTCGTAACTGGTTAGAATTTCAGCAAATAACTATGAATATATACAGCTTATCAATGGTAAGTGTACACTCCCGGAGAATATAAAACGACCATATAAAACGTTATATGCAAATAACCACGACTTGTAATTACAGGTCTAGCTCGGTCAAGACGACGGAAAATACACAGCAATGCCACGAACACAAGTATCTCGGGAATTAACTGTATTTTCACAAAATCGCACAGTGGATCAATGGAAGAGTGATCAAAGTCAGCAGGAGATCAGTCTGTCACTTGAAATACCGCTGTAAACACTATATATATGTGACAATGTAGTTCCATTGATGGTGAATAACAACAGTTTCTGCACAGCCTGGGGGCCCGAAAATCGATAGGCCAGATCTGTAGCTACGAATAGAAGTGTTAAAAACTGAAACCTTTTAAAAGTAACTTACTAACTGATCCTACTGGGTTGATTTCTGGCCTCAGTCTGTGAATAATAATAAAAACTCGCTTTTATCTAGAACTCGGTTCATCATTGGTCCTAGCTAAGATCTTAAACTGGTTGGAATAGACGCATTCTCTTAGGGCAAGTTCAAATACTCTCGACGTAGTAGCGGTTTAAAAATTCGCATGTTATTTTATATGAGTTAAACATTTTTTTAAATGGATCCGATACAGCCTTACTGAAAGCAGGGATAGGTAAATGTATAAACTAAATTTGATGAATATAATGCAGAAATGTGGTCTTTAAATCTCACAAAAAAATATATTTGGGCGACAATTAGATTTAAAAGCACACCTTAACTCTATCTGAGGATATAACCTTTGAAGAATATTTTTAACTGATTTTTAATAAAGAATATTTACCAATATATGAAGAGGTAGTAACAAGATATTTGGGAACTTTAAATGTACGTGTTTTACATCGCTTATTCACGAACTTGTTCGTAGAACAATCTTACGATCTTATCT